CACATTTAACTAAAAATGACATAACTCGCACGAATTATTTTTAGAATTTCATTTTGGAAAATCAGTGAATCATCAACCTTAGAAACAAGATTTTGATTCTCTTCATAGCTTAAGTTAAAAATTTGTCATACAACATTTGAAAGTCCAGATTTTTAGTTTAGACATCAGTTCTTTTTATAGGAAACGTTCGGCTTGGCAAAGAGCCCAATGCATAAGCAACGAAATTATGATATTTGAACATCCATATGTCCGCACACAAACATCTGGTTGCCCAGATCAATAAACTAGCCATTCAGTATAAGATTGTTTAATATATACATGAAATTGACGTTTATATGTAATATACAAAGATATCACATAAAAAATTAAATTCGTTAGACAAGAAAAAATCCCTCAATTTTTGTATGAGGATCCACATTCCTTGATGGAAAGGGGATGGGAATTGGAGTCCCTAATACCCCCGATCCTGTTTATAAAAAGCGTAAAGTGTTTTTTGAGATATATATATTCTAATCGGAAGACTTTTCGTGTCTCGTCTTTTGCCACACTTTTCCCAAGATCGATTAGGAGCTAGTTTCCGGTAAGCACATGTTATGAACTACCAAAAACACGACTCGAACCATTGACCTTTAAGAAGATCCCTCTTACGTTTAGTTTTGAGTTATAGGTGTTTTAAAGCCCCGATTATTAAAGAAAAATTGGTTATTGATTCGGTGTGGTTGGGTTCAAGACCAAAATCGAACCGTAGGTGTTCTATTTTTCAAACTTAAAACGATACTATATTAAGTTTGTATTTCAAATTCAAACAATCCAAATTTGTATTTGATTGACAATTCAGTTTTAGACTAAACTAATACAAAAACCCATTTATAATGAGGATCTTTTACCAAACACTAAACAGGTAAGAGTTTACAAGATCACTTAATTAGTAGTTAAACATGATAAGAACTGAAATTTTTGTCTGGTAAGTGAGAGTATTGATTTTTACCCGTTTAGCACTTAACGGGCATGATATAATGGGTAGTTGCATAAGGGTCGACAAGGATCTAAACCCTTAAAGGATTACGAGTCTACCAGCATAGCACTTGAAAAATTAAGAGAAAACTCTTAAAACTAGAGATAAAGTTCTAAAATAATTGTACTGATTAATAATAAACTCCTGCTAATGAAAACAACGAATCCTGTTTATAGCTAAACTAATCTTGTAGATAACTATTGAAATCTAAATTTAAACTAATCCTAATCCTAAACTAATTATAAAAAAGCAATCAATTAAATAATAATTATGTTCCATCTTTTGACGTAGAATTTCGAGCTCCTTTCAAGTTTCAAGCTCGTTCTCTTTTTTCCCATTGATCCATGATAGAGTCTGTTCACTCCCGAATCCTACCTGTATCAGTCACCCTCAATTGAAAAGAACTCAACCTCGAGTTCGCTTTGAAAAATATCTTCATCCAACATGTAGAACATTCGTTACTTCAAAACATTTGAATTCACAACTAGGGAACCGAAATTCGAAAAAGTTGACCAATCTTCAAATCCCAAAGGATGTTTCCGTGGTGGCTTCCATACAAGCAATACTTTATCAAACTCGAAAAGGTAAGATGCGACAAGTACTTTAGTAGGAAAATTTTTCGTTCTGATTTGGAGCCTTAGGTGCTAAAATATCGGCAGGATCCTCTTCGGGATTAACCTTCTTGACTTCTTGTGACAAGGGTTTTGGCGGCTAGGGAATGTCATCGACTGATTCACCTTCGGGTGCTTTGATTTTTGGCTCAAAATCTGTCGTCGAATTTTTAGGCTCATTACAGATTTCTTGTTGTGGCTCTTTTATGATGATGAAATATTTACCTTGAACCTTATCCGGTGAGGCTGTCTTTTTCTTTTTTTGATTAACTTGGATATTTAACCCGTTATGCGAGCCGACTAATCCCAAGGCGACCATCCATTCGCGAGTAGCCCAGAGTCACCGCATTTGAGTCTTCTTGGCCACAAAGGGATTTTTTATTCCTCATTGGATTCGAACCTGGGACCTCCAGGCACTTTTGACCCTTGGAGCCCAAGCTTAAACCAATCAGACACCACCCTTATGGTTGAGCCTTTATCTTTTTCAGGTGGCTTTTTTACGAATGGATGGTCGTTTGCTTAGGAGAGAAACCAAATTCATAATATGGTTGTAGTTATCGCCGTGCAAAACCTTGACCAGTTCCTCATGCATGTCCCTTCTCTTAAGGTTTTTGTTGTCGGGGTTGGGATAGAGTAAGTTAATAATTGTTGTCAGATTAGCGAGTGTTGTGGTTAAGGTCACCTTCATCTCTGCTAAGTCTGCTTTGGTAGCCGTTCATTGATCTGCCATTGTTAGTGAAATGACAAATAAATCCTGTTTTTATACCAATTGACGCAACAAGTAGTTGCATAAGGGTCGACAATCGTCTAAATCCTTAGGATAATGAGTCTATCAGCATAGCACTCGAAAAATTAGAGAAAACTCTTAAACAAGAGATAAAACTCTAAAATAAATATATTGATCAGTAATAAACTTTCTACTAATGAAAACAAGGAATCATGTTTGTAGCTAAACTAATTCTGTAGATAATTATTGAAATTTAAATTCAAACTAATCCTAATCCTAAACTAATTATAAAAGAATTTAAATAATAATTAAAATTAAATAATTAATCTAATCTAACTAAGAAACAAAATTTCAAATAAACAGATAAAAACAATTTGTTCAGGACTCGAAAGTATGTGAGTGCGACCTGGCACGTGACCCAAGTCGGGGGAGAAGTGGCACCAACGACTGTGTTCCAGTTTCCGATGCAGAATCTCGAGCTTCTTTCAAGCTTGTTCTCTTTTCCCCATTGATCCATGATAGAGTCTGTTGACTCCCGAATCCTCCCACTATCAGGGCAAAAAACGGTTACCATAAATTTTTGTATGTTATGTTGATGGCTGGAAATTTTATCCAATAAATTAAATGAAAGTGGTAATGTTTTTTTTTTTTACCTAAGGAGCCGTTTACCAAACACTTACCCGCTAAACGCTTAACAGTAAATTTTAACATTATCATTTACTTACCTACTAAGATTTAGTCTACAAAAACGATATCGTATGCAACAATTTACCCGGTAAACGCTTACTGTAGTAAGAGTCGTCGCCCTCATTTACCGAGTAAGACTCTTGGTGCTTGTCTCGTTCTTACCGAGTAAGATTTTTGGTTCTTATCATATTCATCTGGTAAGGTAATGTGACTTGCTGTTCACTTACCCAAGTATGCGTTTGTTAAACGACCCCAAAGCATTTATCTTGTTAGCATTGTTAACGACAATTAGCTATATATTATTTTCGAAAAGAAAGAGAAAGAGAAAGAGAAATATTATCTTTTTGAGTGGACCCAAATTAATAGATGTTATTAGTTATCATACATCATATGTGTGAAACAAATCCTTGACTTTCTTTATGATGATGTGCTAATTTTGCAATTGTTGGAATTATGACATCATCAAATAAAATCTTCAATGATGTCAATATCCAAGTTGTCAACTTTTGGAAAACTATTTTGCATAACAATATTTTGATAGTTGATTTTTTTTGTTTATACGGTGACATATTTATGATCGTTTATTGATTAATACACGTAAGTATATGATTCAGTTTGAAAACCTTTTGCATTCGTATCAGATCATGATGATTGTCTTGTGGATGTCTGATAATGCGTTATTTTAACCTATGTCAGCTGGATTTGATGGTTGTTTGTGAATCGATCAACGAGCATTAATAACAAAAAGGGGGAGAAGTAGAGAGGGATGAACTCCTTTTTAACATCGGAGTCAACGACGGTATAAATGAATTGACAAGAATTGCTTCCATCTTCTTTACATTTCGTTATGAATATCCTGTCTAGCATCCCTAACTAGGCATAAAAAGGTGAAAAGAATATGTTATAAATGGCGGAAGCTCGTTCAAAATTATCAAAGAAAAATAAAATAAATTCAAAGTTGCTTCATTTCTATGGTGCAAAATGATGTATCCAACATGAACCACGTATAAATAAGCGACACCTAGATCGTCAAGAGAAATTCTACGTGCAAATCAAAGCTATCGGTTACAGTTCGCCAAACACCTGTCTCTAGATCTTTTGAGCAATTGTCGCTCTGTTAATAATTTGTATATTTAATAGTTGTCAGTAGAGCAACACAAAGACAGACCGGTACAAAAAACTTGAACCAATCCTGATTTGGCAAGGCAAATACCGAACATGGACTAGCAGGTCCGTCTTTAAAAAAGAAATTAACATCTTTAAAGAAATGCAAAAAAAAAGGATTAACAATCCAGACCGATCTTTAACTTATTCCATCTGAAAAAAGACCTACTGTTCAAACTAATGACATTATGGACCGGCTTTATTGGACCCCCTCCAAATACCGGTAAAACCTTTGACTTTTATGAAGGTTCAAATTTATTGGTAACCTAGGTACCGTTGAATTAATTACCCTTTGATTTTTGAATCGTCCAATTTTCATAATCTCATGAGACGGAAGCATCTAACAAATCAAAACACCGAGCATAAGACGACTTGTCGATTAGAAACACCGTCTACACGAAAACCAAAATCAACATAAGCAAATGCATCAAAAAAATCCAAAGATTTATTTTTTAGAAATGAAGGTTTTTTAAAATATATATACAGTAAAACTAGTTGGGATCTACCCTAAACCCTAAACTCTAAACACAAACTGTTGGACCATTGAGTGTTTGGGATGGGAGATGCAAGCTTGTATGAAGCTGACAACTGCCAAATAATGGTTAAGGGTCAATAGATGACAAATGTCTTTGAAATAAATACCAAATAAAGAAGTATAGGTAGGTAGGAGATGAAAGGGGAATTTAATTTGGACAGGCTGAAGTTAGGCCATATCCATCAACCCTTTCACTCAATGCTATCTAACCACCTTCATCACTCACTCTATATACATACTTACAAATCAATGCCATTTCTTCATTCATCAATCCCCTCTATCTCCATCTTCCATCCACCGCTACCATCACCGGGGCGGCACCACCGCTGTTTTCCGCCAATGGCTAACACAAACACAACCATTATGGCCACTGCTATCTTGGTGGCGCTGGTTTTCACCGCGGTTCCATGCTTGGCGGCGCAATCACCAAGGGGATCACCGATGATGTCGCCAACGTCGCCGACGACGATGGGACCTGCGCCTGATTGTATGACGGCATTGTATAATGTTTCTGATTGTTTGAGTTTTGTTCAGGTTGGGAGTAATATGACTGCTCCGGACAAAGCTTGTTGTCCGGAGTTTGCAGGGTTGCTAGAAAGCAACCCTATCTGTTTGTGTGATTTGATTGGAAGCTCTGAGAGCTTTGGGGTAGATCTTAGTAGGGCTCTTATGCTTCCTGATGCTTGTAAATTGGAAACTCCTTCTATTAGTTCTTGCCCAGGTTCTCTCTCTCTCTCTCTTGTCTACTTTCTTTATAATTTATATAAATAAATTAAAATTAAATTCATTATTTTAACAGAATTTAAATTTATAAATTTTTGGAAGTTAAAACAGTATATATATTTCCAAAAAATAAAGTTATAATATTAAAAGGGTTAAATTATTGGTATATAATATATAGATCTTAAAGCATCGTTCTATAGAGACGATTTGCAGTATAGATCATACAGAGTTGGTTTTTTAGATGCCGTAAATTCGTAATAATATATTTGTTATATTTAATGGTGTTACAGTAAGTTGTCGTGAGTTTTAGAAGAATTAAAGTTGGACAACCTGGTAGGGTAAAAAAAAGTAAACCATCCTTAATCTTTTATATATACGAAAACTTTTCATATAAAAAGAGTAATAAGACAACTTGCTTTTTGTGTCTAAATAAGGTTGTCCAATTTCGTAGATAAGACTTGTTACATCGCTAACCGTGGTAAGAATCCTCACACTCACTTACTGGGTAAAACTGATTCTTGATCCTTACTGTATTATTCCAGTAAGCTAATGCGACTTGATAAACACTTACCCGGATTCATAAAAATAAAGAATTCAAACTTAAATTCAAAAAATAGGGTTTTGACAGAACTTAAAACATTGTTCTTTGTTTTGGATGTCTTGTAGCTACTCCAACATCAGCTCCAGAACCTAGCCCAACAGGTGAAGCACCTGGATCAACAGCAGGTAATTATCATTGCTAGACTACAAAAGTTTGACATAGTTTGAATCCATCTTATTTGTTTTCTTGTGGGGGTTGAATTTAAACAGCGGGTGCCGTGCCAAACGGAGGAGCAGCCCCAGGCCCTGTCGGATCTGGAACCGGTGGTAGCAATGGAGCTTCGAGCACTACAGTTCATGATCTTTCGACTTTCGTTTGCTTGGCGGTTGCTATTTTCATAGCATACTACTTTTAATTTTTATTCATTTCGCTTTACGACATGGAACTCATCGTTCACATTTTTTGTATTTTTATTATAATATTATATGTAACTTTAACTCATACATTTGATCAATGCTTGAATGTAATCAATAATATGTAGCGAGTTTAATCCGTTTTTTTTTCTAGGGATTATTAAAAAATTCCTAAAGGAGAACGAATTCGGTTCAATGTTTTACTATTGAACTCGGATCATAATGATACTGTTGGAATACAAGCACCACCTAAATGCCTCAGAGATGTCTCAAAGGTAGAGTTGGGTTCTATATCATGAGATACATAAATCCAACGAGATTAATCTTGAAAAGAGTTTCTGAGAAGAGTAAATGTTGTAGTTAAAATGACACTAACATTATTTGGACTTGGGTGTGGGGTGGAATAAAAGTCTTGTAAACCAACTATACATTCTAATTGTAGTTTCAAAATATGTACGGTGTCACACAACAAATTAATACGGTTGCACCGTTCACGGAACCTAAATTTTTTACCCTTTGACGGAGAAACAATACGGTGGTATGTGCCACCCATGACACTTAACTAGGTCCGTCTATGGCGGTGACTCCGGGTTACCTGCCAGGAGCCAGCCCAAGAGGTAATACTTAATAGTCTGTATTGGGCATTTGGGCTTTGCATTTTATTAATCAAATTTTGAAAATGTTAATAAGTTAATTGGGCTTTGCATTTTATTAAGTTGGACAATTGGGCTTTATTTTGTTTGGGTTTTAATTGTTATGTTTGAATTATTGAATACGGTAGCACCTTTCAAAATAATACGGTAGCACCTTCCAAAATAATACAGTAGCACCGTTGAGAAACCTAAAAATTTTACCCTTCGATGGCGAAATAATACGGTGGCACGTGCCACCCATGCAACCCTTACAGGTCCGCCCATGCCTATCAGTAAACCATAGTGAAAACTTTCCGGGTAAAAACAAATGTGGATTAGCGAGATATAAATATTGTATATTGTAGTCCAATCAGTTTTTCCAATCCACAAACGTAAATATATATAACAATTATATATATGATCAAATTACAAAGAGACACGTAAATCGAAATGAGTTTACTTAACGTAGTTCCGCTATCAGGGTGATAGTGTACTTTCACGAGAAGAGAGATCGATTTAATACTAACCGAGAGTGATTAGAACGCATTTACAAGACCCTTGGATCAATGGCTACCCAAAAAATTCTCAAAACAAAGTTTCTAAACATCGAAACAAACCAAAATAAAGATAACGTTTTGGAAAAAAAACTTGGTCAAACAAACCAAAAGACCAAAGCCCTTTATACCGGCCAAAGGGATCGATCAGCCCATATTGCGATGTAAGTCGCCAGTACATGTCATTCGTGCCGGTGGTCCATGCAAGTCGTGAGGGAACGTCCACGGCCACGACGTGGGGATGCGGCCTGTGTTGCCTGAAATGTGCGCAACCGGCATGGCGTCTTCACTGGGATGGCTTGCCACGCAACACAGGGCAATACGGCCAATGCCGCCTGGAACATCTCCCATTGCATGTGTCACGACCCATGTCGCCTGAACGTTGCCTGCGACGAAGCTCGGACCGTGTTGCATGTCTTTACTGAAACGCCATGCAATGCTGCCAATGCTACTAGGAACATGGCCCGACCATTTTCAACCCCAATGCTTCAGCGAGTTGTACGTTCTTCATAGTGAGTTGTACAACATCCAGAAAACCAATTTTTCAACACGCTACCATGATGTGCAAATTGTCCAACAAAACGAATACATGAGCCAATCCAACAAACATGAACAATAGTTGATAAAAGATAGGAATGAGATGCATTTTGACCATGATGAGCTTCGACTCGGCAATCACTCGCCAAAGCCAAAAGAAAGAAAATCTCAAGTAAGCAATCTCGATATAATAAATGAGTTAAGGAACCCAAACATGTACCCATTAATAACTTTCTAAAGATACCACTATGTCATATATAATAATATTCTCATATCTCCCACAAATAACACAACCGGAGTTGGACCAAATTCGAGCACTGCAAACTTGTAGCCAACTGAATCACACATCAACAACAAATTTTTAGCCAACTGGATCATATTATGACTATCACAATTAGTATGGATAGTAATCTGCTTAAAGTCCAAACCAAATCAACATCCTATAAATGAACCGCTTCTTTAGCAAACTTAATCGTCATGATAAATTTAGGAACGACGGCCACAAGGTAATCCAAAAGATAACTATAGAACCTTTTTTTAATGTGAAATTGTTGGAAATACAACAAAAATGTTTTCTAGCACAATAAACTAATTGGACTTTAGACCACTAATTAGACGATGAATACTAACCCCTAAACCTTAAACCATAAATACTAAACCTTAAACCATAAATACTAAACCTCAAATTAGAGTCATATTGCAAGTTTTTATACAATATTTTTTTAATTAATCTGGATATCCAACCCGCTATGCGAGCCGACTAAATCCCAAGGCAACTACCTGTCTTGCGGGTAGCCCGGAGTCACCGTATTTGAATCTCCATTATCACAAAGAGATTTTTATTTCTCTTTGGATTTGAACCTAAGACCTTCAGACACTTTTTGACATTTAAAGTCCAAACTCAAACCAATTAAACACCACATTTGTGGTTTACAATATTTTCTGAAATTGAGTGTATATGAAAATTACTATTCTAAATTTAGTTTATAAAAATTAGTTTCGAGCCTATTTAGTTAATAGGGTATAAAATATATTAAATATATAATGAAAATTATTAACTTAACAACCACACAATTGATATATTTAGTATATAACATAAGATTTAGTTATATCTTGTAAATAAATTAATACAAAAAAGACAGAAAATAGACTCAACACTTTTATTTTTCTTCTTCAGCAGTTCCAGGTAATCTAAAGGAAAAAAAATCTTATTACTCTTGAGTCAAATTTTTTGTTGATATGTACACGAGTTCAATTTTTTCATGTTTCTTGTATATAAATGATTTACCATCTTTATTCACTCAAGGGCTACAACTCCATTCTATACACATTAATGTAGGTTGTATTGATCTCATTAGATTCTAACATAACTTCAACATTGGAACTGTTAAGTAGTATAAATAAAGAATTAAAATTCATAAAAAAACAGTAAACTTTGAAATATTTATGCTTGGATACCTTATTATATTTGGGGAATGTGATTATATGAATATTAAATTTTGTAAATTGACAGATCATGAGTCAATCTAGAAGGTCTGAAAGAATCGTCTTATTAGCCCAGACGAGAGAGAAAGTTCACCTGAGAATGTTCTTGAAAATCTAACAGTGGTTCGGGGAAGAGGAAGAGGCTGAGGCAACGGCAGAGGAAGGGAATGCGGAAGAGGAAGGTAGTCATCTTGAAGTTCATCCAGATCAGGGTGAATTTATTCAGAAGAACATTAATGAAGAACCAATTCAACATCCTGAGTATGTTATTCGGGATATGTTAGTTGAAGAAATAAGCAAATTGAGAAATACTTTCACTTCTATTCTGGGATTACCTGCCAGAGTGGAAATAGAGCGAGTAGAGAGTAACCCGCAAGTCCAATATATAAATACAAGAGGGGATGATATCATGATGTTTTTGAGGTGTAAACCCCCAACATTTTCTGGAGAAAAAGATCTTGTGAAGGCGACCCCAACATTTTCTGGAGAAAGAGATCTGGTGAAAGCGATGTGCTAGTTAAAGGAAATAAAATCAATTTTCAATATAAGTAAGTGTTCTTATGATTGGGTCAAATTTGTTGTGTCTATGCTTAAGTCAAATGCTTTATATTGGTAGGATGTTGAATCTTTGACAAAACCTAATATTTTGCAAACTATGTCTTGATGGAGTTTGTTGATCGATTCAAGGAACTATTCTTCCCTAAAGCGGCAGTAAGGCAATTGGAAGAAGAATTATTGAAGCTAGAACATGGAAATCAAACGGTAAGGGAGTATATAGAGAAGTTCATTGAACACTCCCATTTTGCCGAACATTATATTTCATCTGAGACTCATAAAGTTGAGAGGTATATTTAGGGATTAAAGTCTTTGATCCAAGAATTTGTGATTGCGATGAACCCCACTATATTCCCTTTGGCAGTAAACGCGGCTGAAACAGCCGAAAGAAATAAGAAACGACAAGAGGAAGAAAGGTAGTTGAAAAGAGGAAGTGGGAGGGGTATTCCATAGAGTTTAGAAGACCAAAGTTTGTGAAAACAGAGAATCTCCCGGTTCAGCGATTCAGTAAACGACCCTGTTAGAGACGTCACTGTGTCCACCAAGGTGACTGTAATTTTGAGCAAAGAAAATGCTACAGATGTGGAGAACTGGGACACTTGTCTAGAAATTGTCGGATACCCCAACGTTGGTATCATTGTAATTCTTCTGATCACATAAAGCTGAAATGTCCTCAGTTAAAGACTCCAAGATTGAATCTTGGTGGAAATACTCCAAGTACTCGTGGGGGAATCAACATTAGAATTGGTGAATCTGATAGGGCGAGGTGACGGTCTTTTTAGATGTCAAAGGGGGAGGCAGATGAAATTCCTGAGTGGTAACATGTACGTTTCTTATAAACTCAGTATATGCAAATGTGCTATTTTATTTCGGTGCCAATTATTCATTTGTATCGCCTTTATTTGCTGGGTGTTTATATGTGAAATCTGTGACCCTTGACTATGCCGTAGTAGTTGATACTACTAACAATACTCAAGTATCTGTTACTCATGTGTTTAATGACTGTCAAATTGAGATTGAGGGACGTGTGTTACCAATCCATTTATTTCCGATGCCGATAAGAGAATTTGATATAATGGTAGAAATGGATTGGTTGGCAGAGAATCAGGCGAGCATTGTATGTAATAAATAGATGATACACACTGATTTACCAGGGAAAGGGCCATTTTTGATTTATAGCAATCGACGGGATCATCACACCAACCTGATATCTGTTATGAAAGCTCGAAAGAGTATTCAGAAGGGGTGTCAAAGTTTTCTGGCTTATGTGGTCGATACATAGAAAGAGAAAGGTTAAGAAGAATCTATTTAAGTCGTCTGTGAGTATCCTGAGGTATTTTATGATGAATTGTCTAGTTTACC